ACTAGCAGCAATGGCAAGGCACTAAGCAATTCAGTGAGACCCTGTCTCTAAGTAAAATTTTAAAAATAGGGTTGGGATGTGGCTCAGTGGTTGAGTGCCCCTGAGTTCAATCCCAGGTACCCCCACTCCCCAAAAAATGGAATTGTGTTAAAAGAATAGAACTATTTGGGAATGATCAGCATCTTAACAGTGTTGAGTCTTCTAAACTCTGAAGACTCATATTTTTTCATTTTTAAAAATCTAGCTTAATTTTTCCCTGCATTGTTATGTATTATTTTTAGTATAGGGGTATCACATATCTTTTGTTAAACTTATTCTTGAGTATTTAAAATTTTTGTCATTCTTACAAATGGAAATTATTGAGATTTATTTTCCAATTGGCTGATCTTTCTGAACTAACTTGTTCCTTCTAGTGATTATATCAATGCCTTAGGATTTTCTGTGTAAACAAGTCATTACAACTCTTTGAATAACATAGGAAACATTAAGTCCCTTTAGACATAAATGACTAACTGAATACTCTGAAAATTTCAATAAGAATGAGGTATTTCCCTGCTTTTAAAGAACTTCCCCCACAAAGTATCTACTAAATTACAAAAGTTGATTTCAGTGTAGAAGTGTAGAAGCCTAATTAACTTCACCTTAATCAAGCAATCAAAGTTGACATATTCAGGAATGAAACATGCTGAAATACTCTGTAAACAGCATATGGAAAATGATTCATTTTATTAAAACCTCCTTAAAACTAGTAATAATATGTAAAATCTTAATTTTTGCAAAAGAAAATTAGGAACCTATTAATCCATGTATTAGCCCATTTTACTGGAAAAGAATATTGTTTTCATTATGTGCATACCCAAAGGGGTTTTTTTTTTTTTGCCCCTCACATAGACATAACTAAACACAAATGCCTTATGTGCTCTTTCATTATAAACATCTTCCTAGAGTTAGAATTGTCAAGATATGAAGTTGATGGTCATTTGTCCAGTACAATGAAGTACTAATGCAGACATTTTCTGACTTATTTCTTAATCAATCTTGACAGAGACCATTGCAGTCACTGAGGACTTTTTTTTTTTTTAATACAGATATTCAGGTCCCACACCACACTCTTTTGAACCGGAATCTAGTAGAGTTCTATTCTTAAGATTTGAGATGTTTGTTTCTCTTTATATCATTTGGAGTTCTTATTGCAAAAAAAATAGAAATCTACCGTGTGTAACAGAAAAATAATTTATTGAAAGAGAAGAGTAGGTGTAAAATATCTATGAGAACTGGAAAACCAGGCTAACAGGTTATGCAGCCCAGCAACAAAGTTCAAAATTACATTATGGGACTTATTGAGAAGTGACTCGATGACAGACACTGCTGATCACACCAACTGTGATCAAGCCCTGATCAAGCCTAAACAATGCAGAAGGGAAAGAAACCAAGTTTGTCATTTTCTTCTTCCACAGAAGAAACAGGCACTGCCTCATAGAATAAAGGATTACACAAACTGTTTAGACGGGGTTGCAAAATAGAGTGGCACTGATAGTTCTGCCTTTAAGAGTTTGCATTGGAATTGGTTTTTGAAAATCTGATCTATGCTGATAAGAAACTGCCTCTGTTACAAATTCCAGACTTGCAAGTTTACTTTCCTTACATTTTCCCCTCTCTGCTTGGAAAACTAAGCCATACACTGAACTCCTCCTCATTTCTGCTTGAATACTTTCCTTTCCCCTGTTTCGTTTTGCCCTGTCATCTCATCCCTTCACCCAGCGTCAAATAACTAAAACTGGACATTACTATTTTCCTGAATTTCATTAATTACCAGTCTTTCTTAATCGATTTTGTTCTCCCTCTCTCTTTTCCAAAAAATGCCCATTTATCTTAGAATAAGGATACCTTCTTTCCATCTCTTTCATTTCAAAAGCATAAAATAGAACTGGAAAGTATTTGGATTAAACCTTAAATTGAATCTCTGCTTCATTAGTTGATCAGTTATCATGTTCGCTGATTAAGACTAGTCATTTGGGCAAGTTACTTCTTTGAATGTTAGTCTCCTTATCTGGAAAAATGAAAATTGTAACTAAAATCTAAATGAGATGCTTGACCAAAAAATAGTTGCTTGATAAATGTTAATTGTGTTCCTGAATTATGTGGCTTTTCTATAGCAGTTCACATTATCTATGCTGTTACATGAATTATCTCAAATATAAGCAGCCTTTGACAATAGTGTATAAGACTTAAAAGCTTCATTTAGTGTTTCTATAATTCACCCTGTACTTCCTCATCATTAGATCTATGTTCATATCTATTATTTTGGTTTTTTTCAGTGATACTGAAATAGTATCACTTTCTACTTCTTTTCAGTACATAATTTTTTCAAAGTATATTGCAGGTACATGTTAGTTTACTAAATTTTAGAGGCCTAGTCATTATAAGTTGATGATGGAGAAGTATCCAATTTAAGATATCCTATTATATAAACTAGAAATTGATTATTTAAGCTAATTTGACTCCCAAAATATCTGCCAATTGGGATTACTATAGTACATTTCCTTTTATGCATATCAAGTATTTTGCTATAATTACTTCACTAAAATCTTTCTGTGTGTCTTTCCCATATATTATGAGAAGCACAGTTTATTTGGACATACTGTCTCCTTTTGTTCTAAACCATTTTACCAGTCTTTCTTTTATGTGCAAGCAGTGACAGTAGTGTTTACTAGGAATTGTGTTCTTACGCATCTCAGTCTTATCCTTTGGTGTCCAAAAGTTTGTGGGCATTTCTAAGGGATAAAGAATTTCCCATCTTTATTCACTGTGTAAGCTGTTCTAGTGACAAATGAATTCTGGGCAGTGAATCGAGAAGGACACAGATGTCAAAGCCATGAATTTATAAATGGTCTGTTAAGAAGGTGCTTTTGTCCAATCAGTGCTTTGTTAATTTTACCAACAAGCAGGAATAATTATTCAATTATAGCTTCTATCCAACAAAAATCAAATGACAAATGTGTCAGAATGTGAAGGTAAAGGGTGGGTGAGTGTTCTGGCAGGTGGCCCAAAATTAGGCAGCTGTGTAGAGGTGGATTTAGGACCAAATTGACCTATAACACTGATTATAAATCCTTCATGAATATTCATAGATCTTATTGAGATCTAAAATAATTTTATTTCTACATTCTAAAATACAAAAATTAATTTTGTTACCTTTGTGAAATATAATTACTGGAAGAGTATACCTCAACACTAGAAAAAGTAAATTCATATTCCTTTTTAGTTTATTTCTTCTTATTACCAACATAGTTTCAAAGCTGTTTTATTACTTTTCATGAGTTGTAATTTCTCCTTGTGAAAAAATGATCTTTATTTCTAAGTGGTATTACTACTTCATAACATTGTTTGATATAGAGCAAAAGATTGGCAAACTTTCTGTAAAAGACCAGGTAGGTAGTAAATATTTTCAGTTTTTTTGCAGTGTGGTCCCTGTCTCAGCTAGTCATTTCTGCTACTACAGCATATTGCAATCTCAAATAATATGTAAGCAAATGTAGTGTTCTAATTAGACTTTATTTACAAAAACAACAGATTGGATTTCACCCATGGGCTGTAGTTTGCCAAACCTGATCAAGATACATGACATTAAAACATCCTGCTCTGATTTTTAATAATATAGAAGGATTTTGGAGCTGTTTACTTGCATCTCTGAACTGTGTAACTGTAGGCTATGTAGTTTCCATAAGTACAGTATGACTGGTACTTCCTGAAGTAGTACAGTATGGTAGGCCCGGTAACAACCTCATCATCCATTTCTCCCTCATCTACATCAGGGCTGTCCATATCTGGCTCACTGCCTCATTAACTCTTCCTTACCTCCACAGATAGTCTCAAAATCCCATGAGTTCTGCCTCCTAAATAGACATATCCTTGAAGACTTTTTTCTCCTTTCCAGTCCCTTACCTATAACCCTAGTTCGATCACCTAGATTATTAAAACCATTTCTTTTTTTTAATACCTTTATTTTATTTATTTATGTGTGGTGTTGAGGATTGAACCTAGGGCCTCGCACACGCTAGGTGAACGCTCTACTGCTGAACCACAACCCCAGCCCCTTAAAACCATTTCTTAATGTGTCTGTTTTAATCTTTCTCCCATTTATTCTTCACATTGCATTCTATGTGGTTTCTAAAACCAAAATTTGATCCTGTTGCTACCCTATGTGAAATATTTCACTGGATTACTATTTTTAGCAGAAAATCCAGTTTACTAATGTGGTTTACTCAGGCACCTTTCTAACTTTGGACCTCAGTGTTTCTCTCTCGTTGAGTAGTGTACAGGCCAAACCATCTACTAATTGTTACCCTTGATGTACACTGCTCACTTGGCCTAGAACACTTTCACTCTCCATTCCTAACCTGAGCTTCAGTTCTGTGTAAGAACCATTCCTCTCCTCCAGGCAAGTAAGAATTAGCTGATTTTGCTTTTTCTTGAAGTAGGGCCATGTACTCAGTGTGGCACATATGTCCAGCACATACTTTAATGCTTATAAACATTTCCTTTTATATTAAATAAAAGAGAGTAATATAACTGGTCTACATAACTGTAAAGTTACATTACTTGATTTTTTTTTTTACAGGCTACATTTCTTTTTAAATGATTTCTCTCTTTCTGCATATTTTAGAGTAATCAATGAATTAAAGATTTAGTACATTTTTTATGTTGGTTTAAATTAAGTTCTTCTAGTTGGGGGGGTCAATGAATTATATCATGCCAGTTTAATTTAATAGGAATCTGTCATTGAAACCCTCATTTTAATTTTATTATCATGATAATAGGTATCTTTTTAAGAGACTGCAAAAGGGAACTTGGTTGTTTTCCCTGGTTCGTATGTTCATTAATCTCTCATTGCTAGTAATCAGTACTGATGCGGTCAGTATTTATGTTGAGGCTTTTAAGAATTATATTTCTTATAAAAGGAGATGATGCTACATTGTTGGGCATTCTGTTGGTTACAGTTTATCCTGACATTTGCACTATCAGCCTTGTAGCAGTGAGTGATGTGAATAAACATGCCGAGAGAATTGCTTTCTGGGATGACGTATATGGCTTCAACATGTCCTGCATGAAGAAGGCAGTTATTCCAGAAGCTGTGGTGGAAGTTTTAGATCCAAAGTCTCTTATTTCAGATCCTTGTGGTATTAAGGTAAGTGTTTTCCCAAATTTTTTTTAATAATAGTATTACCTTTTTCCTTAGCTCATTGTTTGAAATCAATGTAGTCATCCCTCTATATCTGTGAAGGATTGGTTCCAGGACCCCCAATGGATACCAAACTCAAGTGCTCAAGTTTCTATATAAAATGGTGTGGTATTGGCATATGTGTATCCTTTCATATACTTGAAATTGTCTCATTTAGGGATAATGACATGAAAGGGAAAAAAAAGTGTACACGTTCAGTACAGTTGCCATTTTTTTCAAAATACTTTCAGTTCAAGTTGAATCCAAAGATGTGGGACCACTATACAGAGAACTAACTGTGTATTCTTTGTGTATGTGGACCTTGAAAACAGACTTGTGGTCATAATATTTACCAGTTGGCTCAATCATACCTTTGGAATCACTTCTATTTATACATTTAAATTTCTTTTACTCAGTTTTATAATCCTTCAAATCTAACTGTTTGAATAATTTACATTTATTTAACTTAGTGAAGGCAAAAAGTCCTATTATATTGTCATTTCTGCTTCACTACCACCTCCTGGCTTTATTCTAACACTTATTGATTCATACCATATATTCCACATAATTTAACTTCTTATTCTAAAAAGGCTGGGAAAAATTAGAATAAGTAATTATATTGAATTTTCCCTGGAACTAAAGCCCTACTATTTTGAAATTTCTCAGCTAATTTCTTTTATTTTCTATTATTTTTTACCATGTTAATCCCTGGTTTTATTGTGAATTTTTCAATGTTGAGTTTATCTGAGTTCACTAATAACTTTTCAGTGAAAAATTATACTGATTTTCTTAATTGGTTTTCAACTAGATAGTGAGATATATAGGGTTTGTTCAACATTAGTTTTAGAATATTGTCTCCTTGTTTAAGTCACATTATTACTTTCATAGCATCAATAATTATTGTCTACATGAAGTAGGTAGTCAACAAATGTTTATTAAATTCCTTAAATGGATAAATATTATAATTAGCATACAATAATAAACATGAAATTTCTCAACAAAAACAAACTGATAGAAATTACATTCAGCTTTTAAGGAAAAAAAAATCTACTTTCTGCTTGATGATTGTAGGACTGTTGAATGCTCTGGTATACTGACAGTAACGGATTTATTTGGAACTTGGCTCAGAGAAGGCATATCCATAGCCCTTTCAGCCTTACATAGAGTAGAAAGAAGAGTTGAAGAGAGAAGTGCTAATTTCTCTCTTTAGTCATCTTGCTTACCCTTGAGACTGCTATGCATAAATACTTGAAATAGAAAATTCAGAACTGAGAAACAAAGGTATTTAATAAATATGCATGCCTTTTTTTAAAAAAAAAAATCAGGCTTTTAAGTAATACCATTTGTTCTGTATTCCTAAGCCCTCTTACAAATTAAAAGGCAACCCACATTGTAACATTTAAAATTTTTTCTGAGACTGCTTTAAATTGAGTAATGCCTTAGATATATAGTTACATGAATTGCATTCACTGGGTCATAATGTATTCATGGTAAACAAACATAGCCTTTACAGCATATTTCTGGTGAGATTGCTGAAAGGTGATTGCATCCCATCTCCTAAATGAGATGGAGAAGAACTTGCACCAGGGCAGAATGTGAAAATAAAGATATTTAGCTGAGGTGAATCTTCATAGTTTTGCTGTTTGATTTGAAATCATGGTTTGTTTTTAATATCTAATAAACTTATCTTTAAATGCATTGACAGAAATGAATGTGGAAACTTTTTTCTTTGATTAGCATGTGATTTCAAATTGCCATTTCCTCTAAAAATATTGACTGTTATCACATAATTTATAGCAAATGTGGCATGTGTATACAAAATTATTTTAGGTGAAACACACAAAAGTGCTTTTTATATGAAAATATTTTAGTGTTTTAGGAAAACTAGCAGATCAAAGCTATAATTTTATGTATGTCATTGCTTACAAGAAGACTAAAGAAGATACTAATGTGATTTAAAGAAAAATTAACTAAATGATAATACACTTAGCAACCCTTCAATTTGGAAATAATCCCCAAAATAGTGTGTAAATGACCAAAGGTTTTGATCATTGCTTTATAATAATGCTTTTTTAGCATTAAAAAAAAATAGAGGCAGTATTTATTTTCTGGGATTTTTGGGGTTTTTTCCCCCTCTCTTTACCAATCTCTTCCCTTCTCTTCTTTTTAATGGGTAGCATATAGATTGCCATACAACATCTATCACAGATTTGGAGTTTTCTTCTGATTTTACTCTGAAAATCACAAAGACATCTATGTGCACGGTAAGCTATTCATTTCTCCTTTCACAGATTTCACTAGCAGTGCAGTTGATTGGCAGGCTAATGAATTAATTACTAGGCTTGTGATAAATGAAAACGACTATTGCCTTTGACAGTCGATTTTTGCCTTTGCTGGGCCATTGAACAGATCTGGTTTAATAGGTGAACAGACTTCAGGAAAGTTAGTTTAGTTTAACAGAAAAGTATTAGGAAACGATGTTTACATAATGATTTTTCTTCATATGTTGTTCATTATTACCTATCTTATAATTAATTGAGATCATTCAATTTTATCTTCAAAGATAAAAGCTCATATCCTAATGCGCTTTTATCCTCCCAGTAATGGCGCTTAATTTAGATATTTCATAGAATATTTTATATTATTATATGAAAAATAAAGATCTGGCATTGATTTATCTTTCTTCAGAAATTAGTCTTGTGTAATAGAAAAACTCTGAATTATAGAAAAGGTGGGCAGATCTGGATTCACATTTGGTTCTTCTACTTATTGATTTCTTTGTTCAAGCAACCTCTGTTCTTTAATCTGTACCTCAGACTATCAACTGCTTTAAGAAAATTGGCAGTAATTCTATCTTGATGACTAGTTATACAGACTTAGTGAGATCAGTGAAGCCAGAAATATTATGTTTTTATAATCTATTACTTTTCCTCCCTTAATTTCTAAATGTTTATTAACTCTAAGATAATCTATCAGAAGACTCAGAAATGTTAATAAAAGGGGACCTTAAAGTATGAATTTATATAAGTGGTAGTTCTTTGAATATTTATATTATTTTTAAAATAACTACAATTTTAAAATTTGTGATCTCATCTTCAAAAGTTAGAATTTTTATTGAAAATTTATTGTAAGAAACTATAATGTGAAACAGATGGATGTTGTCTTCAACCTGATTCTTTTAAACATTTAGGTCAGGTTAACATTCAGAAGATTTTATGGTTCCTTAAAATTTATTTCAGTTAATTTTGATTCAATAATTATTTTAAATCCAAATGAGCATAACACACAAATGTGCTCCAGAATTTTGAGGAAATTACTTTTCTCTTAATTGAAGTTGGTTTTATAATGTTTATAAGGACAATATCTAGATTCCAGATTTGTGACTTTGGAACACCCACTGGAGAGAATAAAATTTGCTTCTCATTTCCCACAGATTTTCTAATTGTGCTTTTTAATAATTGAAATTATAGACTAAAAGTTTTTACTTATATTGCCTCTTTCTTTTGATATTAGTAATCCTTGAGATTTTGAAAAAAAGACCATCTTGATCAGCAAAGATGCATGTATAAAGGAATTCCTAGAAATTGTCACAATTCCAGTATTCATAATATTTCAACTCTATTTTCATTGATCTTCATATAAAAAAGAATAGATGTAAAACGTTAGTGAAAATATGAAAAATGATATTGTTTCTAGTTGTACTTTTTTGAACTTTGAAAAATGGCAGTAGTAATTCTGTCTTGATGAACTTTATATGAATATTACTTTTGTAATGTTACTTCTGAACTCTAGTTCAGTTTTTAGTTTCAGACAACAGAATCTGAATCAGCTAGTTTAAACTGAAAGTGTTTTATATAGGGGAATAAAATAATTCTTAGACATATGGGGAAGGCTAAAGGTACAAATTTTAGAAGTATTTTGAACTTCTAGAAACAGCTCCTAGAACCATAGATTAGAACTGGCCTGTCACAAGGCTGCTTCTATTGTGAAGAGAAGAGTAGCTCTGTCACTACAGACCCTGTTTAGCCCTAATGCCTCTGGTCCATTCTATGAGTGTTGGCCACCACTGAAAACCCCAGATGCACAAACCCTTCTCTAACATTCTATTCCCTGCCCCCTGCCCCCTGCCCCCTGCCCCCTGCCCAGCCCACCTTGTCCAATTCCTGCTTTCATTTAGGAGTAATTTCATTCATTCCTTGGCTAAATCTAGGCCATGTGAAACCATATGAGTAAATTTTGGAAAGTAGTTTTAGCTATGGTAATTTATGTATAAAAGAATTTCATAGCACATTTATAGAGTTATTTTCTACTTCCTTTTATTTCAGATAAAGTTAAAACTAAGCTCCTTGTACTCTATCTTTCCTTCTTCATTTTATTCTGTATACTTAATAGAGTAAACTACAAGGAAAAAATAGGTAAAGTTTATTTAATTGAAAGGTTGTAATCATAATTTTAGTATTGAAATACAGTGTATAAAAAGTGCTTGAATTTGTTCTTATACAGAGTTACATAAGAAAATGAATTTGAAAAAACTATTATATAAAGCACCCTTAGATTTGTATATTTTATTCTCCACATTACTTGAATAGTTTTATATAACTATTTGGAAATGAGGAGGGTTTGGGGTTTCAAAGTAGAAATAGATTGGAGTGGAATTTTATTTGTCTGGTCATTGCTGAATAACATAGTTCTACAACTCAATAGGTGATTTATTGTTACAAACCATGTTTATTGAGTACATGCCAAGTACTAAAGATAGAGATTAGAATGTAGCATTGATGCTAACTCTGCCAGGATTATTCTGTCAAATAATTAGTTGATAAAAATTATCTTCCTGTGATAATACTTAACAGTCGATAAAATTTTGATTGCCAATTCATCGTTTTAAAAGCATTCTTTCATTTATTTCTATTACTCATTGCCATTTGAAATATTGATATTCCTATTTTATTGATAAAGATAAAAATAATGTTTTACTTGTGAAATATGTTGTTCTGTGTGTGGTGGCATACACCTGTAAATCCTGGTGGCTCTTGGAGGCTGAGGCAGGAGGGTTGCATGTTCAAAGCCAGCCTCAGGAACTTAGCGAGGTTCTGTCTCAAAATTAAAAAAAAATCAAAAGATAGGCTTGGCATGTGGCTCAGCGGTTGAGTGTGGCAATGCTGGGCTTGGCACAAGATTCACGAGCCACCACACACCTTTGTAGGTTCAAACAGCAAATCTTTATTCCCTCTCTCACACCGCCTCCACACAGGTCCAGGGGCAATCACGTTCTGCTGTCACCCACACAATTCACCTACTACACGAGGCTATCTCCAAATCCCATTTTAATCTCACGAGAACTCAACGGGAACAAGCAACAGGAACACCCTAATCCCAGCAATAATCTTCAACCTCTAACTTCCCTAAAACCCATTATCTTAAACTGGCAACGCCTTAAACTCAAGGAGCCGGTTACTTCCTCAAACCTGATCAGCTCTAAACCCGGATCTGCCTTGGTCCTTGAGCAAGGTCACCTTATTAAAGCATGCATGCAATGTCCCATCGAATGTCCTCTAAGCAGCATGGGGTACGCTTGGCAAGGAAATTTCGATGCGTCATTCCTACTTGGTAATGGCCCTCAGCATGAGTGCCCCTGGGTTCAATCCCTGGTACCAAAAGAAAAAATAATGTCCTTACTCTTTGCTGGTCCCAAAGGCCACCTCTGTGGGATTATACAGAGAGAAACCTTGTAGATAAGATAGTCCAGATATAGAAGAAACTAGACTACATAATGCATTTTAAACAGATCTTAAACCTGTTGCATATGAAGCAAATTTATTTGATAGTTCTAATTTTCAACCAGTAGCAATTATTAGGAGGGAAAGAGAGCCTGTAATGAAAATGCAGTTTTCCTCAGAGCAAAACTGACAGACTGGTTGGATGAACTAAGTTACATATCTCACCTTCTTTGCTGCAGATAAAAAGTAGAACTTTGAATTTTTTTTTCTTTTTATCTTTTGGGTTAAGCATCTACATTTCTTGGAAACCTTTCCTTCCTAGCATGTTTACACTGAGATGAGCAAGATTTTGTCACCTAATGTTTTTATTATTTGTGAATTCTAACTAACCATCCATATCTACTCCACCTCTCTTGTTTTTTGGGGTGGGCCAGGTCATTATGCTCCCTCCACCATCCACCCAGAGCTATCACACAGACATGGACTCTAGGCTACTGTTTAATAGATTGATCAGTCACCCTACTTAGAAGAAAAGAATCTTATAACAAAGATTAAAAAGGACGAATATACCTTATTGGAACTTCCTTTGTTTTTCCCCTTTTCTATCAGGAGAATTAATGACAGTATGGAAAAATTTAAAAATAATAATACCTGGTAATATGCCTGGATGGAAAAGTGACTTTGGGGAGTAGGAAGAAGAGATTTGGCTTTTTTTTTAGATAGCAGTACAAAGCCAGATACTTCTGTTTTCACTCTTAAGTACAAACCTTCAGATACACTAAATGCTTTTTCTCTTCTTGAGGAAAATGCACTTACCACAAATTAAGTTGGACAATTTCTGAGTGGTAAAGCCCATTTTAAATATATGCATAACCATTTATTTCTTAATGAGATTCTAAATTTGTGGCCTAATTAAAAAATTGAAGGAAATTAATTTTTCAAAGTAACAAGATGCTAAAACGCCCCCATTGGATTTAATCTCAATGCATGTGTGCTATAGACTGATAGTGCTTTTAGATAGCTTCGCAAATTATTAGAACTGCCGGTAGAAAAGCGTGTTTTCATTGTGGTCTCCCCACTACTTATACACACACATATACTTAGACCACAGGACAAATTTTTCATTAACAAACTATAAAATTTAGAACCATTATATTTTATTCTTGTGAGTTTGGATTTTATTTTTATTTGTGTAATCACATAATGGGCCGGCCACATTTATATTGGCATCTATCTATAAGCTCCTCACTAGCATAGACAAGCATCCTTTCATAATCCTAGGTACACATTAAGTGACTTTTAACAAACAAGTTTTTTACTTTGAAAATGAAAATATTTAAGATGGTTTTATCACATTACATCTAACAGGAGTATTATCTTTTAGATGTAGAGTGTTTTATTTCTATAATTTCATAATCATTTTTGTATCTGAATTTTAGCATATGTAGCATATTTGTCTTTTATCCTGCATTTCTGTTAGCATGCAGTAAAATAATGACTATACAACAATTCAGTTTATACCAAATTTCCTTAATATGTTTCTT